AAAAAAAAAAAAAAAAAAAAAAAAAAAAAAATTGACAAAAACTGTCATCCTGCTTTTCAGTAAGAATAAATTATGAAATCTTTCTTACTAGTATTATTAGTTACATGTTGTATTATCTAGGTGTTTTTATCAGAACAATTTGACAAAACTGTCCTGCTTTTCGGTAAGAATGAATAATAAAAATTTTCTTACTAGCATTATTAACGTGTTGTATTTTCTAGGTGTTTTTATCACAAAAGGAGACATTGGTGTCGGCACTATCCTAGGGTCAGCGGTCTTTAACGTGTTGTTCGTGATTGGAGTGTGTGGTATAAGCGCTGGAACGGTAAAAACCTATCTAATATTTATGTCCTAACATTCATGTTACTTATATTCTATCATTATACTACTAGCATTTGACTTGATTCAAAAATTTTTTTCCCCTGATATGACGAGGTTCCTGGGCCTTTATCGACAAACCCAAAAGGGCCTGGGTACAAGGTATCCACATGACTATCACTGAGATTGAAGGGTCTTCAATGAATGTATTTTTGGTATTTTTAGAAGGGAAAGAAGAAAAACTTGAGGACTATTTTTGTTCACAGGTTCTGTATCTTGCTTGGTGGCCTCTTGTCCGGGATAGCTTTTTCTATCTATTAAGCTTGATTGGCCTTATGTTGGTCCTTATGGATAATGTTGTTGTTTGGTAGGTATAAGTATAATTATCATGTCTGTGGCTCAACCCTTTATTTAACAATCATTCAACATTTATTTAACAATTAAGGCTCGCGTCTCGGTAAATATTCTCTGCTATTCACTGAGGCAAATAATCGTTTTAGTATAAATACTCAGGTGATTCTTTCAAAAAAAAGGAAAAGAAGAAGATTAAGACATTTTTTTCCGGTAACAGCAACAAAGCGGCTGGCCGCCATTTTGAATTATCGCTGGAGGTGATTATCGTGGGATAGTGTGAGTTTCTCGACCAATCAGCGCGCGAGATTTTCAATGACCATCTGTGTGTTTTTACTAAACAGTAATAAATACATAATGACCAAAGCTCATGGTGGAACATCTTCGGGAACCCAGGTGTAAAATTCTATCGCTCATTTCTCGCTCCCAGAGCGACAGAACTTTACCCCTGGGTTCCCAAGGATGATAGTGGCCACATGAAAGCGAGGCTACTTTTAACAAGGCCAAGGGAATGCATGAGGCTTGATGGTCGATGTTAATTCTTCTTTGTTAATGTTTTTGGATTTTTTTTCGTAAGGTCTGAAGCAACAGCTATGGTTTCTTTCTACTCTGTGTACCTCGTTATCATGTACTTCAATCCTCGCATCGAGGCTTACCTATACAAAGTGACTAAGACCACTACCCCAGAGTATAAATCTGACCTTCACGAACAGCATGCCAAGAATGGCCGGGATAATAAAGGCAACTACATCAAAGTAAAAGAGGATGAAGAAAATGGAGTGGAAGAGAAAGAGAAAAAAGATACGGAGACTGAAGATGGCGATGAGAAAAAGAGTAATATTTCAGGTAATTGCCTATTCTCGTTTTTTTTCTTCGACAATTTCTTTGACAATAAGTTTGTTGTTGTTTTATCATATTGTAGACAGTGGAGAACATCTGGCTCACCATCATGAGTACGAAAAACACGTCCCTCACGAAGTCCCAGACCTCACCCTTGGCTCACCATTCTCTCCACCTAAAGGTGCCTGGAAACGATTCTGTTGGTTTTTAGGCCTTCCCATCAACATAGCCTACTACTGTTCAATTCCCGATGTCAAGAAAAAATCGTGCGAAAAATGGGTTGGGTTTTCGTTTATCGTGTGCATTGGCTGGATTGGCGTGACGTCATATATGTTAGTCTGGATGGTAACTGTGATTGGCTATACATTTCTCATACCTGACTCTGTTATGGGGTTGTCACTGGTTGCTTTTGGTAGCAGTGTCCCGGATTGTTTATCCAGTCTATTTGTCGCCCGCAAAGGTAAAGTTGCAAAATAGCAAAAAGATAATAAAACTAAGGGGCGTAGCCAGGATTTCCCAACGAAGGAACATAAACACCTCTGCACCTCTGGACTCTTAGAGTAAGAGATCACGTGACCTTACCCCTTAAAACGAGCACTTGTGTCAAAATGAACACCAGTAATAGAAAGAGTATCTCGATATTAGTAAGAAGGCTCATACTAATTGTTGACTATAGAAGAAATGCATTCAAATATAAAATTGAATATTTCATAAGGCCGGAATTGTATGGGAGAAATGGTAGGATGGGCAAGCTATAAATGCCTATTCAACATCGCATCCCTCGTTCTTCCACGAGTAAGTTTTTTTTACAACCAACGCGGTGGAGTGTGGACATAGGTACAAAAATCAACTATTTTGTTAGAGTAAACTAACTTGAAGGCTATGATGTCACATGCAACCTAACAATTAATGAGGTGTGTCTTGCTTGTAGGTGATGGAGATATGGCTGTCTCTCACACTGTAGGAAGCAATGTGTTCGATATTCTTCTGTGTCTTGGCATACCATGGCTCATCAAGACAACTGTCTGGGAATATGATTCATCGGTAGTAATCAATAGCCATGGTTTGCTTATTTCCTGCTTCTTTATTCTTGGTTCTATTGCTGTCACACTCATTATAATATATTACTACAAGTGGACTCTCAACAAGAAAGTTGGTTGGATCTATATGTTCTTTTACTTCGTATTCATGATCATTTCTGTGGTAGTAGAGATGAATGCCTTTGGGAATTTCAACCCTCCAATGTGCATCGTTAACGTCTAAAATATCGACCCTTTTCCGGCACATAAGACAAAGAAAATCAACAAGAGACGAATTTGAGATAATTTTGAAACTTTAAGCTTAAAAGTGGGTGCTTCAAGATGGTTAGGTAATATATAGAAGTCACTGTAGGAAAGGATTTTCTGTAGTCTGAACAAAAATAGCTTTATCAATGGCATCGCACTGAGTATAAAATGGCAACAGTTTAGTCATGAAAGTCTCGTACAACTACGTCAAATTCAATTAATGATACTGCCATGTTACTCATGGTAACAAGCATGGCGTTTCCATGGAGAGGATCAAGTAGTAGATCTAAGCCAATGTTTTTGCATCATATCCATTGAAGTAACACTACTATGACACTCAACGTTTTGGCACAAGAATCAAGAAATTAACGCGAACAATGATTTACTATGCACGCTGAAACAAATCAAAAAGTAAAAAAGTATATAAAAAAAAAGAAACAGCCTTTTTGACAGAACATTTGATGACCGTATATTTATAGTTTTCTTCGTCATATGACATCATGGATGACGTCATATATCCCATGCTAACGTCATATATTACTGACGCACTTCAGAGCACGTCGTGCTTTCTCTCAAGTAAAAAAACGTGCTGCTGCACTGTCATCTTCCTCATGTTTCGCAAAGATGGAGTGGACACATTTGATATGATGCTTTTGAGGAAAGACAGAATGAATTTAAATCAAGATTTATGCAGTGTTGAAACCATGCAGCAGGCAAAGCATCATTATCATCATCATTGTCAATCTTCCCTATCCACTGTTGCAGCAGACTGGTTGCCCAGGATCGGTATTTCCAACATGAGCAGCAATCTTGTTTTATGCTGTATTTCCTATTGCGACAATACTAAACATTTTACTCAACACTAAGCATTGCTCAAAACCTTATGATCAAAATATTCACTAGTTCCATACTCATAAAATAAGAATAAATAAATAAATCACTTCTATTTAAGTGTCAATATTCTATGCACACAACGCTCAGCTCACATGTTGATTACGGAGGGAATCGAGGAAACGAGTCATTCAAATAACAAGTAGTTTAAGAAAAATCCCTTAAACGACCTTTGGAAAGCCATAGAAATAAAATTAATCAAGACTGAATTATTATCGACGAAATGTATATGGAGGGATATTGTCACGTGGGGAAAGCTAACTCTTATTTCTACTTCTGCTTCTGCTTTTTCTTCTGCTCTTTCTGCCTCTTCTGCTTCTAACTCTCTGCTGCTCTGCGGGCTACACTACTGACTGAACTGCACCTGAGTGAGCTCGTATTTAAGGACTAATGCTAAAGCAATACGTCACATAACTGGTTTTTACTTGGTCAAACTAGATTGAACCAGTTAGGCCACGTATGACGTAAGAGCTTGAAACAGGCGTTGACTTAAGGAAAAAGCCTAGTACGAGCACTTAGTTCCTGAGAGCTGATCCTAAAAATCGGTCGACGGTGCTCGCTAGCTCGACTAATTGAGAACAAATTGTGCTAGAAATATTTCAACGTTTCACATGAAATAATCCTAAGCAAGAGAACAAAAAAAGGCTTAGGAAGTAATTGTTTGTACAGTAAACAACCCTGCTCTTTTCAAGTACGCATGTACAAAGTTGTACTTGATCAAAACCTGTTTTTTACTAGAAAAGTACAGTAGATTTGATGCTGTTGTTTACTACAAAAAGTACTTCTCAAATCAAAATAAAGAAGTTTCACTTAAATTTGTTATTTAAAGAAGGTTTAGCAATTAAGTTTGATGATGATGATTTATGAGTTTATATAGCGCCTTTTCTATATGAAGATAATCAAAGGCGCTTTACATTAAATTTTTATTTCTAGGATGTTTTTTCCTAATAATTTTCCTTGATTACATTTTTTCCTTTTACAATATCTAGTGTTGAGTGTTTGACGTCAAAATATGATACTTTCCATCGCGGAATTTCAAGAAAAAACTTTAACTAGCTATTATTAGAGCCTTAAAGATTATTACACTGAAGTTTCAGTCGAATTAAATTTCGTACGATTTTCGTACTAGTTCCCCCTTTAACTAGAGAAAGACAAAATCAGTCGAAGTGTTCTATTCATACGTACCAAATTATTGCATAAATATTTTCAAATATTTTTCATTGTATAAACTATTACTAGTTATACTACGTAATTAAAACGAATCTCTTGATTTCATTGATTTCAGTGGGTTTTTTTTCTGGTGGAAGGGGTTTTAAATCGTTGCTGACAAGCACGAGCCATTCGGAGGCAAAGAATGTAGTCTTCTTTAATCCTTCCTAAAGTATAATATGCTTTGGGAAGGATTCAAAAGGAGTACATGAGCGGTAAATGAACATTCTTCCCCTCCGAGGTCGTACTTGTCAGCCATGACAGAACAATACTACAGTAGAATACGCCAGCGCTGCTATTAAAAATCATAGCTTCTCTGATCAAAACTAATGGCATTCATATCTATGGGATCCCTGTGTCTTAATGTAAGATGACACCAAATTTAATCCAAACCATTTGCAAGATATATTTTAAAGACGCCAATAATCATAACACAAAGACCGATTTTTCTCCGTTTTTTTGTTGTGAATAGTGCTATGAAATCTAGGAATAAGAGTGTTCCTTGGTACATTATAGCTATAACAAACCAATACTTGTCATGCCAACTTTGAATCACACCATTCAGAATGTATTTTTGGTTCTACTAATCGTGTCTGGTGCTATAACGTTGTGGCAAATGTCTTCCAAAGGACAGATTTCATTTATTCACTGGCAAACTCATATTTCAAGGTATTTATGATTGAATTTACTTTTATTTTTCCACTGAAGTCTAGATAATTACTCTGTTTACTAGTCTGCTCACATCAAGGGTATTTGACTTGCTCGTTTGTACCGTTTCTTCTTTGATGTAAACTACAATCACTCATGGTTGTGCTATAAATTGTTTATTCAAATTAACCTTCGGAAATAAATTTAAGAACAATAATCTACACTTTGATTTTCCTTTACTTCTTTCTTTTCAAAATTGAGTGAAATTAACGGTTTATATTAGCTTTACGAGTCGATAAAAATGCAGTATAATGTTTTATAAAAACATACACGGTCGTCAAACTGAACATTAAAGTTGTTTTGCCTTTCTTCTCTTCAACTAACTTATGCTTGGTTATGGAGTTGTAATTATAAATATAAATCATAAATACAAACACAAAACAACAAGATACCATGTAAAACATATGCATTGTAGAGATCAT